ATTCACCGATGCCCACGTGACCTTTGAACTGGCATCCCTCGCCGTCGTAGTCTGGTCGGTGTTGAAATGACCTTTGTCCTTCCGAGTTCCGTTGTGACCTTTATTGATTTGACTCCGAGGAGTTCCTTGTTTATTCGTTTGTTAATGCATTATTCGGTCCGGTCATCCCTGAAATACACAAAACACCTATTTTTTCGAGATGACACCTTTCTCTGGCAGCAGTAGTTTGTGTGCTACTAATCTCCAACGCGGATTGCACGTGATCTGTAAGGACTGGATGCCAAGTGGTGAGACCAGTTGACACTACTTGTCGCTTAACAGTGAATCCTGCGTAGGCTCCATGCAAGCCTCATATCGAATTCAAGAAGATATCACCATGACCAGCGCCATGTGTCAGAAACTTCGACATCAGACTTCAATGCGGATGTTGCGGACTTCGTATTGCATAGTTTTATGGATACAAACCGCGGAAAAATTTTCAACTTGAGTTAATAAATTTGATCGATACTGTGCGGTTTCAGTCACTGGTTAGGGTAGTACATTTTGGAAACATGATTAGAGTCAACTTATACGCACACAGAAGGCAGCTTTTCACATAGTAGGAACAGGTTAACGAACGAAGTTCATACATCAAGCGCCAGTTGAATTATTGCAATTGACGGAAGTAACAGAAGTTTTACTGTTGGCCTCATTTACAATTTCGAAAACGCTGCCGTGATTTAGGGCACCATACATGGCGTAAAGCCATGTCTATCGATATGTCTATCGACGTAACAAAGTAAATTAACTAACTCTCCATCCGAATTTATTTTAGTCCTAGAATATTTTATAGACATCAGTTGCACAGCTCCCCTATACATCATTGGCACTTCTTTGTGTTTTTTTCCACCGCAGTCGCACCCAGTCTTTTGGCTACATCGACCAAAACCACTCTGCTAATTTCGATACATCGATCAATCGGTCTCAGTCTCACCAATATGTATTCGATCGCAGCTATGAATTTCAAAACTCAAATAACCACACCACCCCCGTCCGCCACCCCCGCGAGTGGAGTTTACCTCCAGTGAAGTGGGAGAAATTTTACCAGCAGGAGAACGCTGTTAACAACCGGTTTCTTTCAAGTTCAAGAACAGTGGGATTTTACCAAATTCCCATCAGTCGCTTTAAACGTTCAACTAGTCAAAACTCGGTATGTGAAACAGGATATGGATCGAGAAATCGACACGATCGATACATCGGACAGACACGCTGGAACTCTCCCAAACCCATCCAAGTTGGTGCACTGTCCCGAAGTGCCCCATCGATTGTTGCTTGCATAGACCAACCCGGTATCCTTTCTGACCCTAAAAGTCACACATGTCGACACGATGGTGCAGACTGGGAAGACTGTCGTATCCACATTCAGTGTTTTGGCCTCGGTGAGAGGAAACGACTGCACCTCACCGGAAAAAACGGTTGCACTACAGCTAGGAAGAAACGGAAAAACATACCACCAGCATACACACAACAACCCACAGGTATTTTCATCTCTACCGTTCCCGGCGCACACTTCCATCCCCGAAGATTGATCGGAAAAGATAGAACACAAAGAGCGGACACACCTGAACCGGTGTACGCACGATCGGTCCGTCTATCTATCGTGCCATTAAATCCTATCTACCGACGGAAACATCACGCCCAGTCTGTGAGCCCCGCTCGCACCGGAATTAAGTGGCAGGTTATTCAATACCCGACCTCTAAACGACCGAGGTATTACACTTGGTGCAAACGACTTATTCAGAAGATGGTGAGTTTTCAATTTTTATTAGGCTTTACCCAATGTAAACACAACCGCCAAACTATCAGTTATTGTGACTATAACAAAGAATATTTGCATTCGGTAAAGAATTTTTCACAAAAAGTGTTACAGTTTATCTCTGCTTCGTCAAACGTACTTTGGCTATTTGACTGATCCTTTCAGGGTTGCGTTTACGTCAAAAACTTTTCAGTATGTAGTGTAATTCGTCTAACTCTGGAAGAGCATGCCAAACGGTTGATTCACCAATGCGTTGGGTTTTGCTTTCCTAACAGTCATCTGTTTACTTGTTGGGTACTATACTTTCCATCATGTGGAAAAATTCCTGTGAGAACAAATTAGGTTTTCTGATTAAAAAAAGATCACAGTCGAAATACCCGTTATAACGCCCCACCAAAGCGATTCACCCACACGTACAAGTAGGAGTTCGCAATTTTGCCCGATGATAGACGTGAGCTGCGATAAACCTTGGACTATAGAGTCATACATCAGTGGATAAGACAGTTGAATTTACCATAAAAATTAGGGGGTGGTTTCTATTCCAGTGAATTAGTACCACAACAACTCAAGTGGTAAAAGAAAGACGGAAAAACCATGACTTGTAAAATTTTTTAATGTCTAGCTTACAAACCTGTAGGACAAATTTATCATTTGTGTCCTTTATTGTTAGAAGCTTGTTCACGTATGTCAGTAATTCTAACTGGAGAACGATAAGAAGCCTTACACACCCAAAGTGTTTGAGGCTGTTGAAGGCAGTCCTCTAAGAGAGAGGGGAGACCAATTTGACCAGAAGCCCACAAATAAAGAATCGACACCCGAGAGAGACTGGTCCTTAGAGCACAGGAGGACCGGTGTTTTTAGAAGAATCAATCCCTGGGGATTTCAGACCACCTGATTTAAACATGTAGAGTAACCAAGGTTTTTGCTAACCATCTGGCTAGCCAGTTCGTTTCAACTTTTGCCACTTCAGTGTTGCATACAACCTAAACCTACTAGTTTAATAGGTCATATCTGTGTGTTATAGAGGATGATGCTGGCAACTTGGGTTGTCATTTCAATATGTTTTCTCGATTCGTGATGAGATGCTTTCAACAAAGGCGCGAGGTCAACGAACACCTTGACCATCGCGTAATCGGCGCCTGTAATCATCAGAAAAATCAAGTAGAATTAGTGCCTCGTTTCGGACACTTGGTACTCTATTACATGTCCAAGGTAACAATGACTCTATTGCAGCCTGTATGGAATAATACCGCATCCCTGGCTCGTGGGGGCTTTAAATTAGAAACAATATGCTCCCGGGTTTCCATAATGGTGTCCATGAGTTACCTGGGCATCCTGGTCCAGAAATGGGCACAATCAATGAACCTTGACCAAAACGCCCAATATTTAGTTTTCCTTGCGGTACAAAAGTAGTGTTTTTCAATGAAAGAAGTGCCTTCTGCTCCAAAGGTCTGAGTGTCAGAGTTAATTACAGCATATTTATAAAGAATCCCGAGACAATTGCATAAAGACCTTAAATTCGTACTATGCAAATGGATACAGGAATACGGGACTAGGTTCATTCTGGTTACTCAGCAAAAATGCGCTAAAGCATTTCCATGCCTGAATGTTTGAATGTGAATGGAAGAAGAAGAGAATTAAAAAAACATAAATTACCTGGGAGGTAACGCTTTTGATTTCATGAATTTGAAATATGTTAATGAAATGAGATGCAAAAAATTTATTCAACACAGCGTAGCAAATCCATAACCCCGTCCAGTAGAACCTTGATAATCCATTCACGATTCCCAAGAAAAACACGACCAGTTATCTTTTTAAGTAATTTCCTTTCTTTAAGATGAATAACCCGGGTTTCAAGTTTTATTACACTCAGGTACCAGGTGCGCAAATGACTGGTGGCCCACAATACTAGGTTGACGCCCCAAAGAGGGCGCGTTAGGATTGTTTTTTCATCTATGAGCATGGTAGAAGAAAACCCATATCGGTGCCATACTGGAATGTAGAGGCCTACTGAAGTATATACCACAGAAAAGTTAGACATAATATGAGAAAGACAGTAAGGTTCCAATATCAACTGCGTAACACATTTGTTCCACCCATAGAAGGGATTCTAGACTTTTCCGCCTCACTGGTTTCTAAACGTTTCGGCCATTTCCTCCTTACACAGTGTGCAGCACAACCATTCACGTATTTTATGTACTATATAAGCAGTAAGCAAGTTTTAAAAACTTACCTTGCATTTTAAGGAATGCTACTGTTCTGGAATACTTACTACCAGCACACAAACGGATACATTTGCACTACAACCAGGGCCGTGAATAGGCCTATTTTCGGGTAGACTATTTTGCGTACTTTGCAGTTGCTGGATTAGACTAAATTCTAGTAAACGCTGTTTACAGTTGGTTGAATTTCCTTAACAAACTGGCACTAAAGGAGCCCCACTATGTCTTGGTTTTATCTCGTACTCAGTAAAGTATAACTCGCAAGAAACCTTGTGTCTGAAATTGCTCCACAACCTTTCCTAAGAATATTACTCGTGAATTTTGAAATAGGAGCACATAGACACGAACACTAACGACCAACCAGAGGCATCTTTGCATAGACCTCATCCGTATCACAGCACTGCGGACTACAGTGTCCTTCAAAATAAAGACCATCATTGGAGAATGGACTGATTGGTGTCCGTCTTCAGACTGTCCATCGTGACGGTTTCCACTTTAAGCGACTGCGTGTGCAAACATAACCGCACAATCTTGTAAGTCGCAGCAAAAAATATGAATCTGGTAATGTGACTTCTGTACCTCTATTATCAAGACCGGATTACTGCACAGTAGTGAGAGTAAAAATACCCTCATTTTAAACAGAACCAAAGAGAATCCCTCTAAGCAAATTTTAAATTCAAGGCCGATGAGTTTCGCTTGTGAATTTCTATGACTGCACTTAATTGTCGACCGAGCTCGAACAGGATATTTGCCTTCTTATCCCACCGTTAAGAAGGAGGTGGACTAAAGTGCATCGTTTGAACCTATTGGCCATGAGGTCTTACATGCCTTTAAATGAACGTCCGCTTTCGTGAATGCCTTATAAGCCCACAAATCTGGTCATATTTCTGAAAACAGGAGCGTGCTGTTCGTGTATTCATCAATTCCGTCAAGAACATGAGAAAGTATGATTTTTTATACTCTAGCTTCAGAAGTGATCCTTAAGGCCTTTCTCAGAAAAGGGAATATTTTTGTAAAACAAACTTCTGAAAACTCGCAAAGGAGAAGATTTGCTGGATTTCTTGTATAAACTACATGCCGTCGAATCCAGTTAACCAACATCTAAGGAACCGTCAGTGTAAGTTACTAATTTAATTACAAACTTTAATGGAGGTATTCGTTTCAAAAGAAGGATATCCAGCTTGCGTGAAACTGAGGTTTCCTAGTTCTAGCTGCAGCAAACGAATCCATAACGTAACTTTTTATGAAACCATCCCACAGTATATATGGTGTGCACGGAGCAAAGGGTCGACCCAAGGTAAAACACTGACGGCTGCGTAGCTGGTAAAGTAGGTGCCACTGGTCTGTTACATGAGATTTCAGGGAACATTTCAGTCAAATGGCTTGCAGTACGTCGGTGTATAAAAACTATGAATGTTGCGTCACTCAGTGGTTCTGCAGAAAGATCTGCAAACAAACCCACATGTAAGTTTATTATTCTGGTCCATTGCTTCTACACACTAAGCTAAGGAATGAACAGGCTAGTGAGGTGATCTTATTTCATCTATTGCAGAGAGGTCTTCTCTTGGTCACTCCAAAAACTGAGATGGACGGTTTCTACAACTGACAGCTGCTTCTGATGGATGATTTTGCATCCACTGTTATAGGGAAGTAGCATAGTTTCACAACGTTAAGACACTGAGTCCATTCACGGCTTTCATATAGTATTTGTGTATTAGACAAACTGGATAGTATGGGCAAGCCTCGTTTTAACATGTAACGTCGGCTGCGAGGTTGGTAACTGGAATTAGGAACACATGGCTGTAACACCCTTCCAGTGCTTAGCTTTCATGCCACACAAAAGAAGCACGAGAGCTCGGATACTGCCAGATTGCCCAAAGCTAGACAGAGGAAGTCAAGAAGCAGGAGTCGGGTTCGAAGCACGGAATTTCCGAGCCATCTCGCCGAAGCCAGAGCAAGTTGATCCTGGCTGTAAATTTCTCCGGTTAAATGATTGCTGCTGGTTTACCGAACTCCCAGCAGATGTTCATTTTGTTAGCTAACAAAAACCAGTTATGTCTCATTACATTTTGATCTAGTACCAGAAGCTCTTTCTTCGGAATCCCGTTTTGTTAACTCTTGACTTTTTTTGCTCCAAAAGTAGCAGTTCGTTACGTTTTATAACGCATACAGCGTAACCAGAAGTGTATTGTGCTCACTTTAGCGATTCTACCTAACAAAGACAGAAATTCAAGCCGGAACTTCATTATCATAATACTGAACCGTTTTGGGGGTTCAGTGAGTGTCAACTAAACCGTTACCAATAACGGCGCGTTTCACATAGCTAGAGGAGGCAAAGTGCATTTTCGTCTCGTTTTTGTCTTACCTGTGTATTAGTCAGATATTACGTCCAAAATACCGCCTGAAAATCAAAGCGCTTCTAGAATTTACATGGTTTGTATTTATTGGAACAAGACGCCTAGGCAGCAAACATGTCCTGAACAAATTTAATTCAACATTTTAGCTTTCCTGTTTTTTTTAATCTTTTATTGGAACTACGATGTGGGTACTCCCAGGGGAACCAGTAAGGGTTTATTTTGAACTTTCTCCGTAAAAAATAAAGCAATCCAGTAAGGATGGGTGTTTGTTACACTTGTATCATCCTTGTTTAAAATCGTTAGCAATGTGCCTAATACAAACGTAGGGACGATGGCAGACGGCAAACGGCATTTCCATAACCCAACTCATTGGCTGGAGCACAGATGTTACTGTACTGCGAGGCAGTCCGCTTTTAGTTAGGCGTTTCCAGTGGGCTTTTTTGGACCAACCAGGTCGGCATAATTGCTAGGACCGTCTGTGCCCTTGTGAGATTAACGACCAAGATATCAAAAAGACACGTATTCTTGGTGTAAAAAATGCCGAAGAAAACTCGATGAAACCGTTTTTCAGCCAACTCTCAATCCCAGAACTGCCACAGGCCACCACTAGTCCTTCGTTATTTGATCAAATAAATGCACTTTCAACTAGCTGACAAATAATGACAAGTGTTGTCGTTCCGATGACCTAACTATGACCTTCATCAGTGCTTCCTGTCGCTAGGCTTTAGCCTGATCATTATTACTCGTTTCGTGAATAAATATTCAAAAAGTACCCAAAGCGTGGTCATACCAAGCAGCAGACCAAGCCTTCAGTAACAAAATACCAGTTTTAGAACCCCATTTATGATAATGGAATCCCCAAATCTATGGCAATACTTCACTTCAAACGCAGCCTGAAATAGCTGGACTACCACCATTTATTGCAATTCAAAAACCATCTTAAAGATTACTGGATGGGCTTGAGAGTAGAAACGAGTGAATCGAACGGGAGTTACCAACCTGAAATTTTCCAGCACCGTTACTTCAGGTAAAATAGATCAATAATCAAAACAAGTAAAACCTATCGATTTCTGTCTCCAAGAACTTAATGACTTTTGGTTTACAGGAGTGAGTCGGGTGGCCGCAGAATAAGGCCACTTTAAATGCGCCGATTATTGCCCAAAATACTTCAAGTTTTGACTAAGCCTAAACTCCATCTAAAGAAATGAACTGAATTTCATCTTTCCAGCAGTGCCTAGTTACTTTTGGCCAGCTTAAAGACGTAGTCTTGGATTGGGCTTGCGTTTTGTCACTGAGGAAGCTGTAGAAGCTGTAGATCATTTGGACACATTTGGACACTCATAACGCTTGTTTGTATGCCTTCCTATCCCTTCGTACTGGTTTATTCGACTTTGATTCCAAACAATGTAACATTACGGACTAATCGTTTATTCCAACTATTTTTCAGTGAAGCCTCCTAACTCTGCTTTAACCACAAAAGCGAAAGGCTGCCTTTTGGCTCGATAAGATAAACGGGCCTCATAATAGAGTCCGATGCATCATATTTTGTATTTACTTTAGGCTATATATCACCTGTCCAATTTACATTGTGACCAAGCGAACACCGACTAAATCTCAATTTCCTTCATTCTAGGCATTCAAAATTGATGACTTTACGATTCAAGAAGATCAGGTGAAAAGTAAGTCAATGACCATATAGTCCGAATAAGCCAGCGGAGTGGAATATAATTACTCAGGGAAGTCATGCGTAGTTCACAGACAGTACGCTGTAGACTTCTACAACTTTGAGGGTCATCCGATAAAGGTATATTCCATGAAATATGGTAACGAACCTCAAACTTGAACAGTGAAATAGTGGTGTAAGCGCAGTTATGGACTTGGTTAATAGATGTTGCTGAAACTTCTGTTACTTCCCGGATGGCAGGTTTTATGGACGCAGGTTACAACATATATCCGACAACGGTGCTCAATGAATTCCACTATTTTGGTATAACATTACTGCTGTAATTCAAGTTTCCACAATACCGCACGTATTCGGTGAATCATTTTTCTGGGGATCGCACGTACCTGATAAGCTTTAAACTGACCTAACTGGTAGAAGGCTTCCTCAGTTTTTTATGAGGATTGTCTATGCCAGCGAAAATAACTCATCGAAGAAATGAAGCTGGAAGAAACCTTGCACAGCCCACCGATGAATATCACTGGTTTACCAAATACGATATATCGCCTCTTTAGTTCCGTCAATCAACTCACGTCTGCGAGCTTCAAAAGACACCGTTTTCCCAGCAGAACTTTCTAATATCCAGGCAGCGATTGAGTGATAAATCAAACTTCCGTCCTAAGGTTAAGAAGACCAAGACAGCTGAATACACAGACGTGTCGTTTAGGCAGCAAATTTAGGTTGCTATTCCCTAGGAATGGAAGTTTAAGAAAAGATAACTGTTTCCTCAACGATCACTGAACTATTTTGCACCCAGTACACTCCCTGCATAGATTTGGACATTTATTGCGATGAGTGGCCAGGCTGCAGCCGGGGATAACCCACATCTACGCTAACGAAAAATAGTCAGGTTTAATGTGTGCATACCACCGGCAAGGGGAAGCTACTTCATTGTCCAAAGGAAGCCCTACTTGAGCTCTGATAACTCGCTGTCACTGACGAACCAGTGAAGATACAGAAACATGCATACCATTCTGGGAACCTAGAGATTTACAACTCCTTGCACCATCCATTCCATCGGATAAGATGTCATGGTAGCTGGCAAAGTTCGAAGAAAGTGATCGTGAGATTGATATCCATGTCAACTTTTGGAGCAACTAACCTACCTACTAAACGTTTGCAGTGAGTAAGGCTAAATTTCCTGCTGTCCCCCAAATGGATTCTTCATGTCCGTGTGCTTATTGATTAATTTGTTGCACCGATCTCGCCTGTAAGAGACGCTCACTTTTTCTGGTCTGAATTTTTCGGAGTATTGAGGCATAAATTAATAGGCAACTTATTCTTGTCAGTAAAAAGTCTTGTTACGGTTTTGTTCTGCAGGCATATCTGTCCATTTTTCTCGCCCTTTGTAAGCGAAGCTAATCTGTGACTAACATCTGGGACGCTCTGTACAGTTGTTTAGCTCTTATGGGGAATAACCAGCAAGTCACATTTTTCAGATATTCAGGAACTTCAAACTCTCAGAATTTCGGTCAGTAAAGACTGAGACGTTGGACCTAGACCGGCTGGTAATCAGTGCTGATGACTAGCCTAGCCTCTTGGCTAGGACTTCATCTACCAGTCGAAAGTTTGAGTCATAATTCCTTCAGATGTGTACTTCTGGTGATTCTCACCAGCGACTAAACAGCTGCACAACTTTCGACTTTTGCCTTTCTAGAATGGTCTGACTTGCCCCACGAAAAATCAAGTGAAAGATTCTGGAAACTCCTCATACTATTAGCACAGCTATGCCGCTAGCTTACGTCAACATCTTCAAAGGGATGCAGAAGCGGTAACTAACCCGGGTTTTATTCGTCAGCGCAATGATTGCATGTTCATTATATTCATTATTTTGTTTGAACTATCGTCTACGTGGACAGACCCACAAGACAGACCAACATTCCTTAGACACGGGACATAAAATGGATCTGGAGAATGTTTTAAGACGGGGACTGAGATTCACACCACGGCTGCTGACAGTCGAGTCGGTGGAAGTTACCAAACATCACAGTGTGACTGGAATCGAGGGTGTTGAACTGGCAGGCGGAGGGAAAGCGGGCATTTAATAAGACGAGTTGACACATAATTTTTTTTACTTGTCAAGAGTCATTAGCATAAACAGGGGGTGGGTGGTGGAAATCCCGACCCGACCAGAATTCACAAAATCCCTCTTACACAACAATCGTAGCACTAGCTCATCCACATCGACGGACAAAAAGTTCAACGACGTTCAAGAATGATCATCGGGTGAACCGGACACACAAACCCAACAGAAATTTAGCTTGACTTAGTTGACTGGTTCTCCTTCCGCCTTAAATCTCGACCAACCTCGTAACCTAGTCACTTGGCCTGAGGAAACTTTTGTCTCAAAAGCACAAGGTTGCTCAGGAATAAATCTACCGATTGTTACCAACCTTTGCCGAAAGCCATGAAACTACTTTTAAAAGATGGTGACTGCAATAAATGTAGGTTAGATCCATCTCAGAAGCAGTGCAGTCCTTTGGGTAGACCGTACTTTTAGATGTATCGAATAGGAGCGAAACGTGACAATTACTACAAAAATCCCTAAAAATGGCGTTGGTCGTAGTTTAGTCGATGGATGTTCCGTTTCTCTATTTTTCTTTCCACCAAGTGCAAAATCACGTCAGATGACTTGCCAGTTTCATCTGTGTTGCCTGTCTCTTTATCTGCACCCGTGCAAACCTGGCTTGCCACATTAAAGTATCTCACCCAAGGAACACGCGCAGATGACCTGTGGTGTGTGCGTCGCATCGCGCGCTTGTTGGTCGATAGTGGTGGCATAAGGACACAGAATGCTTAAAGTCGTATGACCCTACCGAATGAAAAGAACCCACTTTGGGCCGAAAAAATTAAGTATAATTTTTCCACACAACCATGAATTTAGTATCATGATAATGCAGATATTTCGAAGAGAAAAAGGATCTTCGATACTGATTACATGTTTGAGCGTATCCAAGTGAAGCGTGCATGTTAAACATGGCGTGCCGAAGACTCGTGCGTGAATGGGATACCTGGGTTTTGACGACGACTTGGTTAGTGACATGCGGGTTTACAAAAATCTGACTGTCGAAGATTTTTAGCACATGAGTGATCTGTTAACGAATGAGTGCATCTAAGGGTTGCCACTTTGAGCCTCGGTTACATAAACAGACTTCGCTAACACTTTTTTCCAGCTGAAGGATTGAATGTTAAGAGTCATGAAATAAAGTTGTTCCCGATAAATTACTTAGACATAATCATCACAATCTTCAGATGGCTCGGAAGGTGAATAATTTAACAAAGTGTGGGCAACTAGTACATGATAAGAATTTATTCGAGCAGCCGGTAAATATGTGACCACGTGACGTGGTTCCTGTGACTAAAAGACAAGTGGCGTTGTAAGTAAGAGAGGTACAAATGTTTGAGTGTTTAACCACTGGTCATATGGTCACGGGTTCAAAACTCTGATTTTCATGAAATGCCCAGTGTTGATGACACTCAAGGAGGATGAAACAGTCTTTCAGTATTTCTCGGTTTTTCAGCATAAATTGACTTCACTTACGGGGAATCTCCATCAAAGTTCCGAAATTTCCCCATACTACTAACAACAAACAAATTATGTTGTTCAGATGAAGAACAAAAGTTCAGCTGCATGCGTTGCCGGTTGTTGGGACCCTTAGGCATCTCACACACAAGTTGGTTTAAGCTTGGAATATAAATTCATTACTGAAGGATTTCGAAAATAGGTAATACGTTATCTCCACGCTGCTTTGAGAGATTGCCGCTGTTCTCTGTGGTTTGACAGCATGGTGGAAATTCTTAAATGAGGCTCTACTCAAAGACATTATTTGCTATCATATTTACCACAGTACTAATAAACTCTGATATACAAACACCAATACCGATACAAAAGTTGAAGCTTATGTGATTTTACCTTTTTCCTTTTGAGGACTACCTCCAGTATAGTGACCAGCTTAGTAAAAGTGTTGCACAAAAGTTGGTTTACTCTATAAAGCTTCTGAACACACTAAGGTAACGAGTGGGACACAGATTCTCAAATGTCTGTGCTAAAAATCCCAGCTACTAAAATTACTCGTTGGGTGCTGATGGCGTCGTCAATTAGGTGGAAAAAACACAGAATTGAAGGAATCAATTGCGGTCGCGACTGCTAACAATTAGACTTGTCCAACCTTCGTTTCAATTATTGGTAGTATAATGGAGTAAAGAAAACACTAGCCAAAGAAGCAAGAGAAAATAAAAACATGTATGAACAACAAAAAAAACAGATTTAACAGGTATCTTGCTCAAAGTCAGCGATTTCCTTCGTATCATAAGCCCAAAAATTCAACCGATGTCCAGGGCTTCTAAAAAATATCATCATATGTTGATCATGAGTTTTCCCCCCTACAATAGTACTTTTTTGATATGTGTAAAGTTTTACAAATCCACTTTCAGCCAGCAACTGAATGTAGACACATAATACAAAAGAACAAACTTAGATAACAAAGAGTTATATGAACTTTTGAATTACGTAAAAATTTGCGGTTTACCAGAGAACTTCGTCTAGCTGAGTTCCGCCGAGGCTGTTCAAAATTCACTATTTTCCATCCTTTTGCCACATTCTTCAAAATAAAAGACGCCAAAGAGATCTTCAAGAAGTACGACAAGCGGGGTCAAGATAAAATCAGCACGACCGACCTTGGACCGGCTTTCCGTGCACTCAACTTAAAAGTGAAACCGGATACACTCAAAGAATGGGCTGATCAAGTCGACGATGATGGTAAGTCCTTAATACTACTTGGCAGCTTTAAATCTGTCCGCCATATCTTGCTACTCATTATATGAAGACGCTTGTCACTTTTCACAGCCACCGGTTTCATCGATTTTAACGGATTCCTCATATGCTATGGGAAAAGCTTACAAGAAGAACAAGATGAGCGTGACCTCCGCGACGCATTTCGCGTTCTGGACAAGAACAAGAAAGGAGAGATAGATGTTGAGGATTTAAGGTAAGCTCAAAGTAGCACTTGATCTGCAGTTAATTATGCTAAGTGGATAGTAGCCAAACATAGCTCACTGCTTAGATATCTGCCCGCTTATGACTAATTTGTTCGGGCAGCCCACCCGTTTTTAAGAAATGGCATATTTGGTCTGGTAAACTCCCGATATTAATGAGTAATTCATCGCCCTGTATTTGAACCGTATGCTCTCTTATTAGTTAATCGTATTTCCTGAGTCAGAGTTCACTGAACGTACCTCGTGCCCCGAGAAAATCGTTAGTACGATCCACGCTTGAATGGGTTTCACATATGACCGCTATAACTATTCTATAAGCTAACACTGTAAAATATATAAACGGTTATATGTCGGTGAGTCCTGTCCGAGTCAGAAAACCATCCAAAATGTGAGCACATTTCTGGTTCTTTATTTTCTCAGGTGGATTCTCAAAGAGTTGGGTGATGACCTAACAGAAGAAGAAATCGATGACATGATACGAGATACGGATACTGATGGTTCTGGATTTGTTGACTTCGACGGTAAGCTTAGTGGATTTTTGGAGAATGGTTAAACAAACAGCCATCAAAATTAAATGACGCAAGCTGCTTCTAGCTGATTTTTGCTTTTGTCCTAAATTATCACTCAACAAACTCACTTCAGTGGTTAACTATCAGTATGTTCTTCCTACCGAAGGGCCAAAACCACCTACATCTGCAAATACTGCGCTGAGTTCGAAAACTCCGATGACCTGTTCAACTATGGACATGTTAGCCAGCTGGTTTAACCGGCCGCGTACTGAAATTTTGACACATTCCATATTAGTAAACGGGCAAATGATATATATATATATATATATATATATAGGGCTGCTATGAGGCTTCTGTAACATCTACTGATGCATACATTGCCTCCCAAGTAAGACGCACTTACGAGCAAACCCCTAAACTTGTAGTGGACGTAACATTGATGGCCACAAACGGAGACAACCAAAAGTGTGTATATTTCGATTCTTCGAACATGTTAAGCCATGAAGGCATACGTGCCAACTCGACTAGCTGATTACGGGACACGTCACCTCAGTAAATACATCTGAGTGATTTATGACCTTTCACTTAAGCCTACTAGTTGTGGCGACGGTGCTTAACATGTCAGAATAACAGACCAATGATTGCCTGAAACAATGTTCCAATGGCCCAGCTCGGTGTAAATGATACGTTAAGATTTCGACTTCTTTCCTAACACACATAAAGTGTATATACTGTAAGAGGCGAGACGAAGGAACGACTCTTAGCGGAAGCTGACTGAATTTAATATTTCAACTCGTGTTGAAAATATGTCTTCACCAGCCGGCCTTTACAGTTGCAAATCAATGAACGAAAACCAACAGCATGAACAAACCCAGAGTCATAAAGGAAATAACTTACAAGGCTGCTGAAAACTTTTCGACGGCCCACGAACGGTTTCGTCTTTCTTGGGGCTCATCAGGTAAGCGCAGTCCCCGGATTTCCGTCAACCTTATGTCCTATTTGACCCCAAATTGGACCGTTTTTGAGAAATACAAAAAAGGCGAAACCGGTCGTGGGATTTCGAAGAGTTTTCAGCAACCTTGTGAGTAGTTTCTTTTATGAAAATATATTGCGATATCTCGAATATCGTGCCAACTGAAACATGAGGCGGCCTGTGTGTAGCACATTCAGTTGTAGAATCTCATGAACGAGAGATTCAGTTGAGTCTCTCGTGAAAACCATTTTGATTTGCAAATGAGTGTATTTCTCGAAATCCAGAGTCAGTGTACAGGTAGCTGAAAGAGTGAATACTAGTCAACTGACGAAACTGGTGTTCGTTCTTGTGTGATTCGTTCATGGTCAGTTCATTCTGGTTGGTTAAGTCAGTCGCTTCTGCGTACTCAAGATTAATGCCGATCGATTCGACCTTGTTGAACTTTCAAGCTATTTTCACCAGTTTATTTTGGAAACGAAAAATTACAACAGACCATTGAGTCTAGTTGATCCGACTACCTGTGTCCACCAAAAGCTTAGGGCTGTGCTGTTACCTGAGTTCCCAGCCCCCGTTAAAGGGGAATTCGGATGTTGCCACCTAATCCTCTATGATAAGCTTGTGGGTTTTGATAAGCACAATATGCGGAGCACGGAAAAACGGAGGAGTACGCTACTACTAGTGAGTCCAGAACTAACGACTTCTTTTGAGATTCGTAATGAACATTGACGGGGCAAAAATCGGGAGCTCACTCGAGTGATTGCTTTTTAATCGATATGAAGTATGTTCTGAAACACCACTACTGATAAGACTGCAAGTGAATCTTAAAAAATTCAGGGGGTACGATTCCTGTTCGCATGCTTTTATCATAGTTGCGAGTCCCTTATCTAGAATGTCCCTTGGCAAATTGCTCTAGCTTCATTCACTGGCCTTAATTACTGCTAAAATTTCAGTGTTTACATGATACACAGAAATCCGGAACGAGTTAATTGACTTAGTCCGACAGGTTGTATCTAACAACTGTTTAGCCGTCGTTGACGCAAGAATGTTAGCTGTCCTCTGACCTTGCAGCTTTTACTCTGAGAAACTCCCAACTATACCATACATTCTGTTTGTAAAGTGTCTTTCCTGCCAAACCAAGCGGTTCTGCACCCGCAGGAGATTCTGTAGACCACGTGCGTTATAAAATGTAGACAGCTCTGCTTCAGCTTTTGCGGAGCAAGTCTTGTGGTAATTAATACCAAATGTGACTGAGCCGCACTATCAACCCAGCTTAGACTTGATGTAATTCTGCGTAATATGTCGCTTTTGACAGTCGCATCTGAAATGAAGAACTGGCGTTCTCACTCTGAGAAAAATTATCCGAAACGATGCTGAAAATTCATCGACGGTCCGCAGTCGGCTCCGCCTCTATTAGGGCTCGTCAAGTAGACGCATCATCCGAGTTTCCGTCACCGTTATGTTCTACTTGAACCCAACTTGTTTGATGTTTGCAACATACACTCAGTTACACGACAATTTGGTTTTACCGGGAATACCTCGTTGACAAAATCCTTCACTTGAAGAAAAGCATGAATCAGTGTCCCGCAAGTGTGTACTTCATAAAAATCATTCTTATTGTCTGAATGAACAATCCGAAGGGCTCTCGATAACGATTGGCCAACCTCCTTGCTGCACTTGGCTTCGAGGTGCAGTGACTCTCAGTCCGGTAGAATGCGGTCTGAGCTTACTGTCTACTGAACTGTGACTCGAAAACCGTAAATACTAATCATACCCCGTGTTTTCAGAGATCTGTCGCTTCGTTTGTTGATAGGTGCATCCAAAGGAAGAAAACTACCATTCATTTTGCGTTCGTACACAAAAGAGAAGTCAAGTAAGGTGAAATGAGATAGAGGGAGTAAAATACTTTGTGGTATTATTAATAAAAATGCTACCGATAAGACGACTGGGAGGTAAACATTCTGAAATTCTATCAGCAGGTTTTATTCAGTCATTAGAAGATATTTGCTAATAGCTCATCTGTATACCAACCTGGCTTAGAAGGAAAACTCATTGGAAACCCAGCCGAATGTTTCGTTTATGATGTCCCACATAAGAAGTGAATTACGCCTGTACAGGGTATATGCTAGTTTTGGGTCCGGTCATACCTACACCATCAACTTATGCCCGTAGTTTCTACTGGAAACTGATTCCCACTATATACCTTAAAAGTAAGGTCAAGTACTTAAAAGTGAGCTCCGTAAACCCACTTTAGTGGTTTTCAGTTCTCTTTCCTGGTCTAAAAGACTCATTGAACAATGAGGGTAAATGCATTTATCCACAATATTCAGTAGACAACTCGCAACTTTGGGATTAGTGTCTGCTTGAAAATCATTCTTCTTTCTGCTGTACATTGTCCACACGTTTTACATCAGCTACCGGGTAACGTATCGTGGTGAGTTTCTGAGGATTGCTGACGAGACCAGATAAATTACAGCTCAACAGTAAGAGAATCCACATTGCAGGTGTAGTTGAGATTCGACAGGATCAAATGCTCGATTTTAGGACAAGTGTAATTTCGGGTCTCGTTTAGCCTGGATGCATTTAAAGAGTCCATTCAGTGTATTTACAGAGGTAATATCACAGTTGTTATACTGACGTCATTTACTTGGATTTACTAGTAATTTGTCAAACTAAACTTCAGTGTTTTGGGGTCCTTTCCAATTGTGTAGTGGACTAAAATTGACTTCACTTGGCTTGTCAAAACCAGCTAGTCTTTACTCAGAGGATTGTGATTCAAGTCGGAAAAATTGGCATTCTATGAGGGTGAGAAGGAAATGCCTTTTCACTAGTGGTCGTTGTGGTTCCAGTCCTTCATGAATGGCCCTTTTCTAGAACGCAGGCAGGAGCTATAATCAAACAGCGTTCGGCGAATCCTGGAAACTGTCCGCCAAACAAGAAAATATATATAATTCCCGCTTTTGTCACTGAAACGGACACTCCAATAAATCTGGCAAGCAATATGCAGATACGTCTTTGCTTAGGGTACCTGCTCTACTATGTTTGCCGTAACTAATGTGCATTTTCTCTTCAAATCTCTTCCAGAGTTCTACAAGCTGATGACTTCGGAATAACTCTGTCTTTGCAAGTAACACAACGCTTTGATTTATTTACTACTCCTTCAAAAATACAGCCACCATTTTGCGTCCAAATTGTAATATAGATTGTTCATACCAATCAGTTGTGCTAACGAAGAGCCAGATCGTCTGTCAACACGCTTGATTGTTTCCTTTTCGCTTTCGTTGTTTTCTGCACTCCGTAGCCCCATAGTGAGGAACAGATTTTGGGAGATACGCTGGAACAGCCACATCCAATGTCATCGACAGCCTACCCGAATTCACTATTTTCCCTTGTGTGTTTGTCAATTACACATTCAGTTTCTGATGTGGGCTTCGTTGTTATTTAACATTATTTGGGTTTTCAGGACAATTCGCATGTGAAAACCGCACTAGCTAAAAGCTCCGAAAGCTCTAAAAGTGGAAGAGCAACGACGGCGACGTTCTCAGCATGCCGGAAGTTGTGAATTCCCTGTCCAAATTGATGTTAAAAATGATACGAGGATAGACAACATTGGTCCATTGTTTTTGTGGAAGCGATCAGTGCCTGACCTATAGCGCTAAAAATGGTCCCCTATATCCATCCATATTCGTCAGGGACTACATGTAGCCGTGCTGTGAATGATGATGACGATATACTACGGTGCCTAGGCTTACAGTTCCAGGGACCTTCAGAATTACTCGATCAACTCAGCTTACCACGCAATATGAACGCTTTGTTTGCACTACCGATCAGAAAAGCATGTGTACGAAGTAGTGGCCATAATATATATGGCACAGTGATGGGTAGTACTTCCTCCACGTACTGGAACGGCTAAATAACTGGCTTCAGCAAACATGTTGCGGGTAAAACAGGCGATACTTTCACTTTTCAGTGAGTTATCAAGTACATTTACTTGCTTTTATGGCGAAATGAAGTTATTCTCGTAAAAGACTCCATAAAGGCGACTACTCGTTACATCCAAGTTATCTCAGTTGATGTAAAGATACATTGGTACTCTCATTCTCAAATTGGTGTTGACCCAGTTTCGGGGTACATCTCTTTCCCGCTTCACTCATAATTTTATAGTTTGGAATAAAAGTCGGTCGTGATTGCTTCATAAAGTTATGTTTGTGCACTAATGTTGTTTTACATAACATCTGCTATATAAGGACAGCAGGTATGGATCGCTGTCTGGTGCAAACAAGGGTCATGTGACCAAAGTTCGAGGGTGATAGCGCAAGGCAAGGTCACCAAGGAACATCGGAATCAGCATCAGCAATTTGTTCTGGCTTTCTCCAGGAAAATACGCGTCGAACCACGTACCACCTTGAAAATATCCCAATCCCGAGGAGAATTCAGCTACCGTCACTCCCCTTTGATCCGAGTAACTGCTTCGAAAATGCTTTGGTTCGCTTGCAGCTCTCATATTAGAAGCATCACAATGAGAAGTTATCAGTCAGTGTAAGATCATCTGTTGCGCGTTACATCTTGATTGCAACACACCAGGTGGATGTAGCTAATTCTGCTCTCGTGACGGTTCGCTTCTCTTATCCCCAAAACCAACTGACCAATAACCCCATCAATGGGTACAGTGTGTCACCTTATTTAGTTAGCATCTGCCGGTTCAGCCTTGTCAAAAGTAAACTCCCGAACCTACGCCCAAACCAACCCTTTAAATTAAATGTATGCTATAAGTCGAAGGTTACTAAGGGTAAAAGGTGTTTCATATGTTCGCAGAAGAGGTACCCTTAGCGTGGAATAATCGCAATCTAGAGAACATATAGTGGCATTTTAAGGAGAGTTTTGAATTTACAAATGTAATGTCCAGCTGTCAGAAGGACTCTTAATAGCAGGCCAATTATGAAGAAATAAAGCGTACGGTGACCAGGTAGTCCTGTATGGCATTAGATATGGAAATGAATAGAGGTCCACTGACTACAGATCCAGTTATCGGCCATACGTCAGGATCCAGAAGCTTATGGAAGTTATGGAACCGGATACATTGACTAGACATGACACGTCTGACGGACGGGTGCAAAGCTGACATCAATGAAGTTAAGAGGACTCCAGTAACGAAGGGAACTTTAGCAACCAAATCAGCGTGAGGATGCTGTTGCTTCATGACCGAAGGTTGGCGACCAGAAAGTAGATATGCCAACTGATGTTCTTAGTTGGGCTGCACTAACTAACAAAATGGCACGTCAGTTGAAAGGATGGGTCAAGAGATGGTTATGGAATAAACACAGGCGTGCCTTGATTTGCAAGGATATCAGTTAATCAGGATCGGACATTTATTGCTCGGTGCTTCCCACGAAGATTCTAATTTGGCCTTGTGGGGAATTTCATGATAACCCTATCATTACTTTTCCACTAAATTCCTTATACGCTGCATCCATGGTTGTCCCAAGCTACCTTGCCTTTTGATGGACCATAGTCAGGGGAACAAGAAACCGAAGACCGGCTGTAGAGAAAGTTTATCCCCAGCATTTGTGACAGCCAATTCCCATAATTATTCCCCTGATCCGAGGAACTGAAAACCATTTTGTTCTAATGAAGTACTTTTGTAAGTTTTACGGATTGTGGGCGGACATTGTGTTTTGTGGTTGCTGGCCGTCGATATCTGTTTTCTTGTGATGATACCGACTTTGCGGCGGAGTGAACTACGATTATATCTTAAGGATGGTGATGGTTTAACAACCTTGAGACCAGTAAGTTGATATCGCTGATTAGTATATGGATCCGAAATTTTCCAAATATTTTTAAGCGTTCGTTGATAGACTGAAAGGCAAAGCTCCACAACAGAATGTGGCACTGATTAGTACGCTTGCATTAAGCCATCATTTATTCGTCTGGTTTTCACGGATCGATACACAGGATCGAGGCTATTGCCCAAGTTTCCCAGGTCGGTTTCGTTTCCCAGGTCGTGCAGTTCACCTGAAAGGCACAAGTGAAAGAAGGGCGTAGCAGTGCTCGTTATGTTCTCAGAGCGAAGCAGTAATCTTGCCAGCCCGATGATTCGTGTAAATGGCTGTCTAGTAGTGTTCAGAAATGGGTTCAGAGGGAGCGAGGACAACCGTCGGAGGAAGGTCATTCCACCCACATACTACTCGAAATGAGAAAAAAATTCTCTAATGAATGTGTGCGCTCTGAGCTTGAAACTTTTCTTACTATGTCCCCGCCGTGTTTGCTGGGTCAACAGGTGAAAAACCTGTTTGCCAAGCTTTGTTCAAACAGGGTATAAGTAAGAATTAGGTTTTCTCGGAGACGACGGTACTCCAGGGGGAAGAGATCGAGCATCGCGAGACGCGTTTCATAGTCCACGGATTTGAGGCCGGCAACTATTCTCGTAGCGGCCCGCTGAACACGCTCAATGAGGGTGACGTCTTTCGTGCGTCCTGAGTAGACAACTTGGTTGGTGTATTTCAGGAGCGGTCTTACGTAGGCCCCATAGAGTATTTGGAAATCCATGCGAGTAACACAGAAGAAGGTGCGGCGGATCGTCCGTAAAATGGCGAATGCCTTTTAGGCCGATTTCTCATGGTACAGTGAGAAGGACAAGTTTGAGGAGACCCAGACAACCAAATCCTTCTTGGCATCTATCCTCATGGTGTTTTCTGGTCCTTTCTCACCATGCACAACAGAGGCATCCGCTGAGTCTCCTTCAAACAATATATGGACGCACTTCCCGTCATTCAGAGGAAGATGCTAGTCCAAAGACCACTGCTTGGCAGCGTCTACATCCATTTGGAGGGCACTGGCATCGGTACTGCAGGATTTCAAGTCGTCCGCAAAACGCAGACATGGACTCGCAAGAACATCTGAAAGGTCGTTGACGTAGATCAGATACAGCACTGGTCCCAGGACAGAGCCTGGGACGGGTAGGAAAAGAGTAGGTGGAGCCTATTCTCACTCGGAATGATCTGTCTGATAGGAACGCCTTAATCCAGCGAAAGATTTTCCCCTGAATCCCGTAAGACTCGAGTTTGTGGATCAGCGGGACGTGTAGGACCTGTAGTGGACAAGGACCTAAGTATGCGTGTTCAATAAAATATACAATCAAAATATCAGATTAGAAATAACAAATGGCAATAAGAAATGGACAAGTGAATGGAACAGACTCGCTAAATGGGGGGTCCAATAATCCCACTAGACGAAATGTTGTGCAGTAATCGTATTCGGCGGCGAAGAATATATCCAGAGTAAAAAGGATATTCTCCACTGATAGTTCGAGTGTTAGAAGTAAATTCCACGGTAGGAATTTATCACAGCTGAAAATTGTCACAAGGAGTTATTGTGACGTTCAACAGTTCGCACACAAACACAATGATCCAATCCCACGACTTCAGCAAACAGCAATCAGTACAATCGGATGCAATTTCACTGACTCAGCAAAAAGCAGGGAAATCGCGCCAAGAAATTGTGTATTTCCATTTTCGATTTTTAATGCAATTATTGGTACAATAAAACAAAATGTCATGATACGTGTACAGTGTTTACAAATTGCAATTCAAGTTTACATGAAGAGAGTAGAAAATGGGGAAAATGTAACATTGATTTGCAAAACACCACAGACCCCATAAAATGCTTTTGAGAAGTCGAAAAATATGGCATCCTGGTTGGCGCACAATTAGATCTCAGTCGCACCGATATTTGGCCATAGCTTCTAAATTTGTTAAGCTCGCCCTGGTGTTGCTTCGTGTAATTGTTATATCACTTGGTTGCATCAATTTTTCGAAGGGTGTCCAAAGTTCGCAGTTTCACCACGAGAGTGCACCTTTTAGGCTCGGGACCCTGGAGCAGGTTGCTGGGTGAATAGACTAGCAGTGTCAGTAAAAGAATTAATTTATCTACATTAAGGTGCAGGCATTATGTGCGCTCTGCCCAACCATCAGAGAGCACAGGGCCCCGAATTAATTTTTTCAATCACATATGTTTGAGCTTCGAGACAAAAGCCGTAAAATAGCCTTCATTTCCTCATTTCCTATAGTAATTGTCGAAGTTCTGAGTACCTTCAGTGCGGAAAAATGCGTGGCGTAATTTTACTATGCGATTCTTATATCCCCGGTCCTAGACTAAAGAGACTGAAAACTTTATAGGGAGGATTTTGAGTGTGGATAGTCGGTCGCTTATTCTCAAGTTGCACCAGGTACAAACTTTAAGCTGGGCTTATCTTAACTCGCGTGTGAGGACGCTTATTCGTTACATCCCGTTGAGGGCACACGAGCACGCATTTGGTCAACTGACATCTGGTGAATCGTTGTTCGACGATTGACTTACTTGAAAAAATGCTAACTCCCCTAAGGTAGCACTTTTTAACAAAGCCAAGCATGCAAAGCATTTTAACACAATGATCTTTTTTTAAGGAACGCAGGGACTTCAACCTAGTTACCTAAGTGTGTTTTTTGCGAGAAAACCCTCCATCAGATTGAACTGGCTGCTTCAGTGTTTCTCAGTTTTCTCACACAGGCTGGTCTCATTTACGGGAGGAAATCTGCAATCTCAGTCAATTGAGAACTTTTTAAAACAGCGCTCGGAGTCTTTCTCTTGGATCGCATTAGTAGCTGGAGAGTGACCGGGCATTTTTCCGGGAAATGAAAATAATAAATGTACCCAAGAGGGTCCCATCACTGAAGTAAACAGATCCAAAAGGTATGTTGCTTGAAGTCATTTCAATTCTGTTGTCTTCGGAAGAACCAACTGGTTTATTCCCCGGCAGATTTTTGCAGCATGCTAAGCCCCAATAAACCATCACTGAATATTCTAAAACTTTGTAGGAATCTAGTAGGAAAACTCTGATCAAGTGCGATTGAAATTTTGAGGAGGTACTTTCAGCT